TGGGCACTGTGGAGTCTGTTGGTTTTGGTTGAGTAAAACTGAACCTAATAAGCCATGGGCAGCCTTCCGGTCACTGATTCATGGGAATGCACAGGCCCTATTTGATGTTCTTGTAAATTCACGAAAGTTGGCAATGGGGCGAACACCAAGTTCGGACTGATCGGTGGTTACAAGGGTCCTCTATTCAGCTATTAGCTCCCAATTTATTTGCAACTATACCCAAGAGGCGGGTTAAGAAACGTACAGTTTAGGAAGCACTAATGGACAATCGGTGGGTACAAGATATCCGGGGCACCACTCGGTGGAGGTCCTATCGTAATTCTTGGACATTTGGGACTTGGTTCAGAAACATTACTCCTGCCAGAGGTTGAGGATGTTCATAAGTGGAAATTGGACATTCGGTCAATTCTCAACTAAGACAAACATATGAGGCTTTGTTCCTTGGAGCGATCCAGTTTGAGCCGAGCACTCTAATTTGGAAGAATTGGGGTCCCAGGAAGTGCAAATTCTTCCTTTGGTTAGTTGCACATAATCGAAGTTGGACAGCTGATAGACTTGCTAGAAGAGGTCTTCCTCATCCTGAGCACTGCCCCTTCTGCGACCAAGAGGATGAAACCATTCAGCACCTCCTCTGTTCCTGTGCCTTCTCTCGGCAATTTTGGTTTCAATTACTTCGCACCTTTTGTGGGGGATATACCCCCGGGTACCACAAGATGGTACATGGGCCGCACCATCCGAGGTGGCCCGGCCCGTAAGACCAAGGCGTGCACATCAAGATTACAAGTTGTACTAGATATTGTAATAGTACCAAATTGGATACTTTACTTGTAACCTTGTCTCTTCGGAGTATATAAGGAGAGACAAGGGTCCCCTAGAGGATAGGTTAATCTGTATACATCTCAATACAATACACCAAAGACACAGGACGTAGGGTATTACGTCGACCAGACAGCCCGAACCTATCTAAATCGCTGTCTCTGCGCCTTGTGTCACCATCTGGTTCCTGATTACACGCACCGTCTACCGATAATCTACCACCACGGGCACCCCCCTCGGTGGACTGCCGAACATATTTCGTCGACAGTGGAACGCCAGGTAGGGGGCCCCTTTAGGGGTTGTGCGTGCTAATCTTCCGGCGAATCAGATGGCGATTTTCTTCATCAACATCATGCACGGCAACTAGGCTTAACGTGGCGAGATCTTGCGGCGACGACGACAACAACCTATGGGGTTCTCGCAATTCTACTCGGTGCAAAGAACAATAGCCCCAGTGTTCGGCGGCCTCGCTTTGCATCTCCAGCATCCATCGCTCCAGCTGAAGAATTCATCTCGTTCCGTTCGACTCGAGGTGTCGCCTTCCCGGTTTCAACGACGGCAACAATGTCAACATCAAACGTCTGGAGATCTCAATCACGATCCCTCAGTTTCACATACGCTGGGCGTATGCACGATGGAGTCAGAAGAACCGTATAGATCCGATACGGTGTTACCTAGATCCAAAGGCGGGTCGACACGGTTCTCGACGCTCCGACGTGCGATCCGAGCCGAGGCCTTGGCGGCGTTGCTCACTTGGGGCTGCTTTCCTACCTCTCGCACACATACGCACATGCACCAATCGGGCAGGCAATGAGTCCGTGTACATGCAAGCCAATGGCAAGCAAGGAAGATGAACACGTGATTACGTGTCTTTGAAGCAATCAATAGCGCATACATACGCATCTACAGGATCTAACTGTCCAAGGTGTACACGATTTTCTCGGCCATGCAAATAAGCAACAATCTTGAAGGACTCCGCGTGCTTCTCCTACTCCAAATACGAGGGCCTTTGGACGATCTACAAAGCATACACGTGCTAATTAATTACCCTTCATGCATGTGCATATATACAGCAGCCGATCGGCGACATCCGAAGCTAAGTCAATACTCATTTATTTTCTAATCTAATATCCTATGACATAGTATGTCTTCAGATGTCTCCCACATACGTGTGATATATTTTTGGCAGGAGCTGCGCAACCATCATGGGCATACACCAAAAGAAGTGTCCGAGCTGTTTAAATTAGCCACGCCGAGCCGCGGAGCGAGCCATTGAGCGAGCCACGCCGAGCTCCGACCACGTCGACTACGGACCACGTCGACCACGTCCCGAGCGGCTCCGCCGAGCTCCGACCACGTCGACCGCGACCACGTCGACCACGTCCCGAGCGGCTCCGCCGAGCTCCGACCACGTCGACCGCGACCACGTCGACCACGTCCCGAGCAGCTCCGCCGAGCTCCGACCACGTCGACCGCGACCACGTCAACCACGTCCCGAGCAGCTCCGCCGAGCTCCAACCACCTCGACCACAAGACTACGTCGCAATGATGATCGCCGCGAAGAACGGCGCTACAACAATCACGACCACAGTCATGACGACAGGTCGAAAAGCTCGAGGACCGGACAACTTCAGCGCCAACGACACGTCAAGCCATCTCTCGAACATCGCAACACGCCGACTACACCCACCGGTCGTCAATAAAGCTAAGTATTATTTTTAATTGAAAATTTCTTCGATCATCATACACCTCTGCCGACCACCCTTAGGGTGCGCTCCGCGTCGAATTTTCTCCATACATACAATCCAAAACATGTATAAGTTTTTACAATGGTTCGCCGATACGTTTTCCTTCCTGCTTGAGAATCCCAGAGCCGGCACTATCTCCGGCTCCACCCCACGCGTGCATGAGAGTGCGCCCTCTGCGCTACGGGTAGTCGGCAGTCGCTCCTTGGTAACACTGGCACTCTACACACGGCAGCGTTCCGTACCTCGCGCTACGAGATGTTGGTTAGCCCAGGGTTGGCGCATTCTCCAGGATAGGTTAATACATTGCGCTACGTCGCTACATAACAAAAGGGCTAAAAACAGCTAATGTTATTTTTTGAATATTACACCAAGTATAATTCATTGCCAACCGAACACCAAGTGTTTACTTCACCTCCTACAGAGAGATCAATATATTTCGTACATCATCATGTACTACCGCTCTCCGTGCTTATTTTTCAGGAACATAGTTTGATCAACGAGCTCATGCTTTGGGGCTCACCAAGACCACTACGGTGCTCGAGGACTCTGGCCAGACCACCCTTGTGCTCGGGGACTCACCAGACCACTCCGTGCTCTGGGACCCTCGGGGACTCGCCAGACCACTCCGTGCTCTGGGACTTCTGGCCAGACCACTCCGTGCTCGGGGACTGCCTCGATCACTCTCCGACCATGGCTCGGGGACTTCGTCGCTCGCTCCTCGACCTGTGCTCAGGGACTGCCTCGATCACTCTCCGACCACAGCTTTGGGACTTCGTCGCTCGTTTCTCGACCTACGCACGGGGACTGCCTCGACCACTCTCCGACCACGGCTCGAGGACTTTGCGTCTCGGCTACATGCGACTGGCAACTCGCATACAGTTGGGATATTTTTTCGCACTTAGACCTTGCTACAAGGCTCATACCTCACCTTCCAGCAAGCTCGGGGACTACATCGGTACGATGCACATGCCGGTGCATCTCGTATCGCCTGTACGACGATTGGATTCTCAACTTAACTGGGAATTCTTTTTAGACCCTAGCACCACGTGCCTACGTCACCTACTACCAGGCTCGGGGACTAAGTGGGCACACTTCAGCTTGCGATGAATGTGCTTGTTTTTCGACCACTACGCCTCTGACGATCAAAGACGCTACGCTTCAAGCCGCACTTACATTTCTTTTCAGAAATACAAGTGGGCACACTTCCTAGGACGGAAATCTTTTTCTTTCTTCTTAAGAGCACCATACATTCTTCGGACAACCTACTTCTCCGGCGACAACGGTGGTCGGAGATGTCAAGAACTCAAGCCTCACTGTTCGGAGAAGGTTGAAACGGCATGTCGCATCAGAATACATGGCGCTCGGGGACTAGCTGTGGGGGATATACCCCCGGGTACCACAAGATGGTACATGGGCCGCACCATCCGAGGTGGCCCGGCCCGTAAGATCAAGGCGTGCACATCAAGATTATAAGTTGTACTAGATATTGTAATAGTACCAAATTGGATACTTTACTTGTAACCTTGTCTCTTCGGAGTATATAAGGAGAGACAAGGGTCCCCTAGAGGATAGGTTAATCTGTATACATCTCAATACAATACACCAAAGACACAGGACGTAGGGTATTACGTCAATCAGACGGCCCGAACCTGTCTAAATCGCTGTCTCTGCGCCTTGTGTCACCATCTGGTTCCTGATTACACACACCGTCTACCGATAATCTACCACCACGGGCACCCCCCTCGGTGGACTGCCGACCATATTTCGTCGACACCTTTGCACTCCCGGATATTGCACCTCAGCCATCTGCCACTGGGTTCTTTGACTGGTGGCAACAAGCCGGTAGCACTCTTGACAAAAGAACTAAGAGAGGATTCAATTCATTGGTCATGCTAGGAGCCTGGATACTTTGGAAGGAGAGAAATGATATTGTGTTCAATGGTGCCTCGCCTAGGATAGAGCGGGTGCTTCTCCTTGCACAAGAAGAAGCTGCTCTCTGGAGGTTGGCAGGCGCTAAAGGCACTAGTGAACTGGTCGCTGCTCGACTTGGGGTTTAGCAGCGCCTGTTGAGGGAGGTCGACTTTTTACAGTTTTAACAGGCGCGTATGTAACCTAGAGACGGTGTGTAAAGTTGGTGTGTGTGCTGTTGTATGGCTATATAAGCCTTTTATCCCCTTTTTTAATGCAATGATACGCAGCTCTCCTGCGTATTCCAGAAAAAACTTGTAATAAAAGGTAGATGATAACAGCTCATTGAATCTTACTTGGCTTCTCACCGTGCTTTGATCAAGTTATATACATATATATTGGCATTGCATACGCCTATGAGCTATGACTGGCTATGCGTGTAGATAAACTGCTTTTCCTTAAATAATTCAGAATTTCAGATATGTACCAAATGGTATATGCTTCAGTGATAGTCTATACACTATCCTGATGGATGTTCTTTCCTTTCCTGACAGGTTTGATGAATGCCCGCTATCTCCCTTGTCACTGAAAGGTGTTAAGGCTGCTGGGTATGAATGGATGACTGCTGTTCAGGAGGCCACTCTTCCTATTATACTTCAAGGTTGATTTTAGTGTTCTTTTTTTTTATGTTTACCATTTTTGGATTTACTTCATGATATGACTTTTGTTTCAGCAAATATATTGAGGTTCATTGCACACGCAAAGGACATTGTTTCCCACACATTTCTACTTTCTTGTCTTTTCTCGTTTCAGCTCTTTGTACCTTCATTTTCGAGTGTTCTATAAAATTTCTTTCATGAACTACATGGGTAAACATGTTGCTTACATTTTTATCATCTATTAGTGAATCATTCATTATTTATATTGAATTTCTTTGCACCCCTTTGCAAAAGCCAATATATCTCACAGTTGATGTGCACACGTTTGGACCGTATTAGTCATGTCAACTGCTCCCTTGAAACAAATACGTAGAAGAATTTTTTTTAAACGATGTACATCCTGACATCCATAGTGCATCTATAGATGTACATTATTGCATAAGTTGGAATGCAATTTTTTTTTCTTAAAATTCATATGAAAATGACACATTTTAGGTGAATATGTACTAGAAGACAATCACAGGATTTTTTTTCCTAATGCACATGCACTTGAATTTTATTATTTTCATATCAATTTTTAGATTGAGTTTGCATCTACAATTTTGTGACAATGTAAATCTCTAGACACGCTGTATGTGCATTATTTCAATTTTTTTAACACTTCTAGGTATGTGTTCCAAGGGGTTTTCATGATTGCACCAATGGGGTGGTTTGTACCAAATATTTTGCCTTCAAGGCTTCTACTCATAACCTTGTATTGTATGGAATCCTTAGGTTTAGTTCTGAACCCCAGTTTGATGGAGGTGTTACAGAACTTAGAAGAGATAGTGAATTTCTCTTTGTAGTTCTATCTGTATGTCTGTTTATGCAATCAGGTGTGCACATATTTTTTGTTGAGAAAAATTGCATAGCTGTTCCTTGAAGTTGAGTAATGTTGCCTTTAAGTTGAAGCAGCCTGAAATTTTGTTACCCATGCATAGTTATCTTTGCATCAAGTATCCAGGGCTGAAGATATTGGGAGAGGAAGAGTTTCACAAAAATGTAGTTCTCTTTGTCCAATGGTTCAAGAAAAACAATATCCTCATTGTTTTCATGTGATTTCAAAGTAGTATTTTATTGTGAGTCAGGCAATCTGAACTGCATTAATATGTATATATTTTTTTAATTAAAGCACATGATTGTGAAAGAAGTTTATTTCCACTTGATTTCAATCTTTTCTAGTCTGTTCTCACCTATTAGCATGTCTTCTCTCTACAGGGAAGGATGTACTAGCCAAAGCAAAGACAGGAACTGGAAAAACTGTAGCTTTCTTTGTAAGTACCCTTCTGAACAGTGAATAATATTTTTTTCTCTGACTTTGAATATAATGTGCAATTGTTTTACCTTCAGCTACCAGCAATTGAAGTTGTTTCCAAATTACCACCTGTTGATCGTAATCTAAAGAGACCTCCCATCAGTGTTGTTGTAGTGTGCCCTACACGTGAGCTTGCTGATCAGGCTGCTGCAGAAGCTAACAAGCTTCTTAAATTCCATCCATCGATTGGAGTGCAGCTTGTAATAGGCGGCACTAGAATGGCTCTTGAACAGAAGCGCATGCATACTAACCCTTGCCAGGTGATTCCAATTATCTTATTGAATAATCCTGCGAAATCTGTTGTCTTTTGTTCTGTGTTCTGACCCAAAAGCTGAATTGTTGAATTACAGATTCTAGTAGCTACTCCTGGAAGGCTTAGGGATCACATGGAGAACACTCCAGGGTTTGCCACAAGGTTGTTGGGTGTCAAAGTTCTAATTCTCGATGAAGCTGATCGCTTGTTAGATATGGGATTCCGATCAGACATTGAAAAAATAGTGGCTGCACTCCCAAAACAGCGTTAAACACTTCTATTTTCTGCGACAATTCTGGATGAGGTATCACTGTGGTATACTTGCTGTAATTCTTTGCTTTGCTTGGTCAGTATGCCATTAGTTTCTGCTCTTCATGCTAGGTTCGCCAAGTATGTCATATTGCCATGAAAAGAGATCTTGAATTTGTCGACACTGTTCAAGAAGGAAGTGAGTTTACTAGATCATCAAATATATTTTGACTGCTGCTTATTTTCAAAATCAAAGGTGGTGCTTATGATTACTGTATTCAGGTGAAGCAAATGCATTTAATTGCACCACTGGACAAACAATTCTCCATCCTATATGGTCTTCTAACTGATCATATTTCCGAAAATGTTGACTACAAGGTAAATTTCAATTGCTATTGTAATCTTTGAATTGTCTTCTGTATACATTTTCTATGTATCAACATTGATTGAGGCAACAAATGCAGGTGATTATGTTCTGCACAACAGCAAAAGTAACAAGCCTTGTTGCTGAGCTTCTGTCTGAGTTGAAGTTAAATGCACGTGAGATCCACTCCAGAAAACCTCAAAGCTACAGAACTAGGATATCGAAAGAATTTAAGGAGTCAAAAGGTCTCGTTCTTGTTAGCTCTGATGTATCCGCCCGGGGTGTTGATTATCCCAATGTCACACTAGTTGTGCAGGTAAATAACCTCTTGTACAATTTTCTGGTCATGTTTATTTTGCAGATGATTGCAGTTATGGGGTTTTCTAGTTGCTCTTTATGATACAAATGAGAAATCATAAAATCCCTGAATAAATGCGCTTACTATTTGCCATTCTGAAATTATATCTCCATGCAGCTCGTAGCTAGATAGTTGGAAGTCTGAACTTATTATTGGCGTGCTTATCTTTTTGCCTTAACATATTTCTAATTACAAATCGGAGTATTGACTCATCATGATTGTCACAGTTGGGGGTGCCAACTGACAGAGAGCAATATATTCATCGACTTGGTAGAACTGGTCGTAGAGGCAATGAGGGGGCAGGAGTCTTACTATTGGCACCATTGGAAGAATATTTCTTGAGGAGCATCAAGGACTTGCCTATTACAGAGGCAACACAACCATTAATTGATCTGGAAACTAAGAAAAAGGTACTTCTAAGCTGTCTCTCAAGTTGACATTACTTTTGATGTCTGTCGATGCATTAACATTGGGTTTTTTTTGTCTATAACTCTGTGCTTGATTTGACCCATTCATCCTTAACATATTTAAAAAATCAGCTAGCACTTCCAATTCTGTTTGGGTGATGGTTTTTGCGGCTGATAAGCCGGCTGATGCTGTTTTGTTGTGAGACAAAAACACTGTACCATGGTTGATAAGCCGAGCTGATAAGTTCAAGCGAACGTGTATATTTGTCATGTCACATGGACTGGGTATCATCATTATGACGACTCTCCACTCAAAAGATCAAACAGGTGGGCTAATCTGAGTAGTACAGTTGTATGGATACATGTTCATATAATCAATTTACTGACAAAAGCTGAAAAGCCAACATTTCCCTGAGACATGATGTTCAATGCTGTTGAGGCTATCATTCTATAGTAATATCTAGGGGTGGTAATAGGTCATGGCCCTAATGCTCTTTGATAATCCAGCTCAGACCTTCATCTTTGTTAGGTCACAGACATATACAAAATGCAGTCCAGCCCTTTTCAGGCCTGATACTTAAAATTTGTCGCCCAAAATTTTCAGTCCTTACTATTAGTATCATCAGTTGTGATCTATTTATGGGGGGACTTTGCTTCCTGAAGGATATATATATGTAATATGCTACATATTCTGACATGATCACAACAGTTGACCAATTTCAGGTTAGTCGGACTCTTCACCAAATATATGTTTTGGATCTGATTTGGGGTGGCAAATAGAAGTTCTGAATGCCATCACTGTAGTAATTAGATCCAAAACTTGGCTGAATGTGTTACTTATTTAAATGATATGCTTACTACCAAGCATCAATCACATTTTGTAAGCTGCCTATCATTTTCATAATGTTTAGTGAGCAATGTGCGGTTATTTCTTTTGATCCACAATGGGGATCCTTGAATTTCGTTACTGTGAAAAGGAACGTAATTACGGAGTTTTGGTGTCCAAAAGCTTGCAACGGAGCACCCATGGTTATAACTGTTAGAATGGCATTATCCTAGCTAATAAAGAATGGCATTATCCTAGGGGTTAATTGGATTCCTATCTCAGCTATTACTGGCCTGAATAGCAGATCATACTTGATGTACTTTTATGGCCTGTATTAATTAGGCTAGATTAGAGGACATTACAGGATTTTCTTTATTCTTTCCTTGCATGTACACTCACTGTTGTATAAGTACAGCCTACAGCAATAGTAGAGAATATAATTCCGTCTATCTTCTTTCACAAACACTCCAACTATGACAACAGAATCCACGCCATCAGACTTTAAAATCACTTTCATCAACTATAGGAAGACTAGAACTCTCGCAAAGTAACAGTTACAGAATCTACACCACCGGACTTCGAAACCGGTTTCACGGAAGGGATGCTATCTTTGAAGTCCGAATACCTTCCAGTGCTCAGCGCCGCCTGTTGGCCATGATCTGCTTCCTGCTGGTGGAAATGTAGTGCTGCCCCTTTCAACATCTCTGCGCCTTGTTCCAGCATCACCTTGTCCTCTTGCATTTGTAGACCTGCCCAGTACAGAACGAGCGAACAAGTGGAACAAACAATCTCTGTAGGAGACTTGATTCCTTTACCCCCTCAAAGCTAACTTTATTTCTTGCTTTCTAGAGACCCCAGCAAATAGCTGCAAGCCCTACCATGTGAAAGCCTTATTCCATTATTTATATAACAGACTGCTCAAGGCCAGAGTTAATCAGAATTGCTGGGCCAACCAAACTCCAAACGTATTTGGCTGAAGAACACCCAAAAATAAGTGTTCCATTATTTCTTTTTCTGAACAAAAGACACACCTCTCATCCCCTATCCAGTTTCAACAAGTTATCTTTGGTTAAAATGACATTTCCAAAAATTATCCACATGAAGATCTTGGTTTAAGGGGCGTTTAGCTTTCCAAATTTTCTTATCTGGGAGATCAATTTCATCCCTGCATTGATGATTAACATTGATTCAACAGAGGAATTTCCATTCTTTTTCAAAATCCATCTGGGTTTTATGTTCATCAGCAGACAATTGCTCAATGCAGGCGCGTAGCTCAGTGGTAGCGGCTTCAGGACCGAGCGCTACCTGCCCAGGTTCGATCCCTGATTGGACCTGGGTGTCTCACCAGGGGATTTATTCCCCAAAATAATCGCGCATGTGTGTGTTTGTTTGTGCGTATGTTCAGATACTACTCCTGTAACTTAGGAGTCCAGGTTAAAAAAAAAAGTTCCAAATTCTTGCAGCCATTTCTGCCACCGAGCAGCTTTGCTCATTACAGACAACAAATAGTTCAGGAAAGGGGTCTATCAGTTCTTTTTCTATTACCAACCAACATAGCTCTTCCTTTTAAATACAACTTCTTGGTGCGATATGGTTGAACTGCTTCTCAGCTATGGTACAGTGTTTTTTCTCCCTCTCCCAACAAAACAATATCAGCTGGCTTATCAGTCACAGAAATCATCAGCCGAACAGGGCGACAACTTCATATCTGGTGACTGCTTTGTTTATAAATGTGTAGTGTACCGACAACTTTGTATGTAAGTTTGCAATAATATCCCAGTTGCTGACTTACGTGATTCTACATTGTGTATTTTGTAATCGTGTGCAGGTCGATAAGGCTCTTGCACATGTGGAGGTTAAAGACAAGGAATCCGCTTATCAGGCGTGGCTTGGTTACTTCAATTCAAATAAGTTCATTGGACGTGACAAATACCAACTTGTATCACATGCCAATGAGTTCAGTAGAAGTATGGGTCTCAATAACCCTCCTGCAGTGCCTAAGCTTGCCCTCAGGAAGATGGGGCTGAACAACATTCCAGGTCTGAGATCAAAGTAACCTATTGCCATGTCTCCATGTCTTGAAAGCCATTTTTGCACGTGATCTAACATCTGATAGCACGCTACTCCATACTGGCCAGAGTTTTGGAGCTAGTTTCTGGTAATAAGGCTTATTGTACGTTTTATGCTGGCAGAAGTGCATGAAATGATAAGAGTGTTCTCGTTCGCTTGTTCTGTTACTGAGATCACGCATCTATGAACGTGTTTTGCCATTAGTCTTAAGTATATGTTATTGAATATAGCTGGACAAACGTTTATTTAATGACTATATCATGCCTATATGTTGCAACGGGAATAAAATAATGCCACAATAATTTAAATGTGGACGTGTTGTATTATTACCAACAATGATTCTGTGCGTGATGTTTGCACTAATCCATTTATAGTCAATTATCACTCTTCACAAGTCAAAACCAAACCAACCAATTGAATTTGGGAGTCCTTAGCCACCCCAGTCACGTGTTTATCACTCCTTAGCCTACCCTCACGTGTTCACACCTCCCACTACTATACCAGTCATGTTAGGAACACTGAACTTCCAAACACCTCGAAGTTCAAGCATCAGCACGCATGCAAATAATTAAAACATACCCTGTTGGCTTGGCTGAAAAGCCAAGCTGAAAAGATTGTTGGCTGATTTATTGTGAAAGAAAACAATTGTTCTTTTATTGGAAAAGTACGGCGAACAGGATAGCAGTGACAAGTGCCTACATATATGTCACATCAAATTTGCTAAGGGGGTGTTTGATCCTGCCACATCGAATGTTTGATGTCAATTAGGAGGACTAAATATAAGTTAATTATAAAACTAATTGCATAAACCGTAACTAAATTCGAGATGAATTTATTAAGCATAATTAATCCATGATTAATATATGTTTACAGCAGCATCACATTCGTTAATCATGGACTAATTAGGCTTAATAGATCGAAAGGCTTAGCGCCCGGACGTCAGGACAGGAAGTCGCGTTCGGACACGGCTTCCACACCTGTGTCCCGCATCCCGCCCAGCTCCAGGACCTGCGTCCTCGTGCCCACACGGGGAAATCCACGTGGGTTGACCTACGACTGCACCCGTTGTCCGCTAGCCATCGGCACCATGCAACACCCAGATGTACTTTTAAAACATTTAGATGAAACATTTACAACATACTTTTAAAACAGATGAAACACTTGAAAAATGTTCTTGAAACATGCATGTAAAGGCATAGCAACATATGTAACATCCATATCAACTTTTGCAACATCTAGATAAAACACCTGCAACATAAGTATGAAACACATGAAACACTTGAAATATACGCTTAAAACATTCGGGTAGAGCTATAGCAACATATGCAACATCTAAATGGAACACCTGAAATATAGGTCTAAAATACCTAAAACACTTGAAACATAGGCTTGCAACATGCATACATTGTTATTGCAACATATGCAATATCCAGATAAAACACTTGAAACACAGCGTTGCCGACGACCATGGCCTACATGGTGAGGAACTGCGGTAGCCAGCAAGCTCAAGTCTGGGGGACGTCGAGAGCTGCCCAGCGTATACCCAGGCGCAGGTGCAGGCCTCCCCTTCCTGTCACGGTATCTTCGGCCGGCCGTGGTGCACGCCATGGCCGCAATGACGTGAGGTGGATGGGAGCGCGGAGGAGCGCGGGATGGGGGTCGGGTGCGTGAAAACTCTAGTTTGGTTTTAGTGAATTGATGAAACCCTAGGTGCTAACCTTTGGCTCTGAAAGCATCTAGGCCCCTAGTTGGGTTTCGGTAATTAATGACAATACAAGATTACTATGACTAACGTGTGTTTTGCAGAGGTAATTAAGTTAGGTCATGGTAATGGAGATCGATTGGGCAATCATGGATGTCATGCCCCTATGATGGAAATCGTTTCAGTTTTCAAAGGATGAACGACAAGGTTAAGGATGACTAGTTCTAAGTGTCGATTGGAGTTGGAGAGACACTTAGAGTAGTTTAGGACTTTGTTTTTCCTTTGGCCGTACTATTAAGGGGGGTATGGACGGGTAGCTTGACCTATGTGAGTCTAGTGAGTTAGGTGTGGTGCACACTTGCTAAGTCTAGCACTAGGTAGCTCCAACAAAGCCCTTAGATCCTATGGAGCAAACTTCATTCACATATGATCGAGAGTTGGAAGTGAATGGAGGGTCAAATACTGACCGGACGCTGGCGCAGGGTCCGGTCAGTTCATTTGACCAAGGAGATTGCGTCTGGCATGACAGGACGCTGAGTGGTCGAGTGACCGGACGCTGAGGACCAGCGTCCGGTCGACTCCAGTAAGGTTCCAGAGAAGGAATTCTGCGACCGGACGCGTCCGGTCAGTACTGACCAGACCCTGGGGGTTCAGCGTCCGGTCGAGTACACTATGGTTCCAGTGAGGGATATTTGCGACCGGACGCGTTCGGTCAGTGGTGATCAGACCCTGCCAGCGTCCGGTCAACACTTAAACACTGGTGTGCGGGTTGAACTGACCGGAGCGTCCGGTCAACATGACCGGAGCGTCCGGTCACCCCGCAGAGGCACATAACGGTTCATTTTTCAGCCCTTGTCATAAATAGAAGCTCCACTCGTGTGTGGAGTCACTTTTGCTCATTCCAACAGCTGAGAAACACGTTTGTGATTGCCAAGAAGAGCAAGGTCCTAGTGAGGTGATTGAGATTTGAGAATCCAAGAGAGAAGCCTCATTAGTGAAGCAAGAGTAGCAAAGTGTGCATCCACCGTTCTCATTAGACTTGTCGTGGTCAAGTGAGAGTTCGTGCTTGTTACTCTTGGTGATCGCCATCACCTAGACGGCTTGGTGGTGATTGGGGCTTGGTGATCATCCAGCGGAGCTTGTGGATGACCCAACTCAATTTGTGAGCAGTTGTGGGTGATTCACCGCGACGGAGTATCGAAGAATCAACCCATAGAGAGCACTTGATCCTTGCACGGATCAAGGGGGAGCTACACCCTTGCGCGGGTGCTCCAACAAGGACTAGTGAGGAGTGACGACTCTTCGATACCTCGGCAAAACATCACCACATTTCCTCTTCTCTCTTTACTTTGAGCATTTGCTTTGAGCATTACTTTGAGCAATTCAATTCTTGTCATTTACATTCCTAGAATTGCCATGCTAGAGTAGGATTGGAACTTAGGTTGCAAGTCTATTTGTGCGATAGAATATTAGAAACACTTTCTAGGCACAAGGGGTTAATTAGGCTAACCATATGATTTAATTATTGCAAGAAAATTTAGAATTAGCCTAATTCACCCCCTCTTGGGCATCTTGATCCTTTCAATTGGTATCAGAGCCTTGTGCTCATGTTTTTAAGATTAACCGCTTAGAGCAAGATGTCTCACGGGGATGGACCTCCTCCTATCTTCGAGGGAGATGATTTTCCATATTGGAAAATTCGCATAGAGGCATACCTAGAAGCTCTATACATTGGAATACTTAGAGCCGCCTCACATGGCTTCCCAAGACCTAGGAATCCCGCACAACTTCAAGGCGATGAAGTGAACTATGAAAAATGGAATGCAAAGGCTCACAACACCATCTTTAGAGGCCTTTGCAAAGATGTGTTCAACCATGTAAGGAACCACAAAGACGCCCATACACTATGGTTGGATGTTTGTGCGCTCCATGAGGGAACAAAGAGTGAGCGTGAGGAACGCTATCATCTTGTCATAAAAAAACTCAACTCTTTTGAAATGCTTCCTAAAGAATGTGCTAATGAAATGTATTCATGTTTGAATGTTCTTGTAGAGGAAGTCAATGGGCTTGGACTTACTCAAATGTCACCATCCGACGTTGTGAGAAAGGTCTTGAGTGTCCTTCCCATTGACAAATATGGGCATATTGTGATCGTGCTACATCAAGGTGATCTTTCTACCGCTACACCGACACAAATCTTAGGAAAGATCAATGCTCATGAGATGTACATGCATATCACACCTCAAGATGGCTCATCCTCTACTAAGAAGAAAGAAAAAGATTTAGCATTCAAAGCTAGTCAGGATAAGGGCAAAGCAAGACTTGAGCATGAGAGTTCAAGTGATGAAGAAGATGAAGATGAAGATCTTGCTCTCATGGTGAAGAAAGCCGCCAAGATGCTAAAGAAGCTAAACAAGAGTGGCATCAAGTTCGATGGCAAGAAGAAGTTCTTCACAAGCTCTAGGAGAAAGCTAATCTCTGAAATGGATTGCTTCAATTATGGTGAACTTGGTCATCTAGCACACCAATGCACCAAGCCCAAGAAAGACAAGTTCAAGAACAAGTTCAAGGGCAAGAAAGATGACTCAAGCAATGAAGAAGAAGATGAAAAGAAGAAGAACAAGCCATACAAGAAGAGAGATGGCAAGAACAGAGACTTCCACAAGAAGAAGAAGAGTGGAAAGGCCTACATTGTCGGTGATTGGCTTACGGACATTGATTCATCTAGTGGATCATCCGATGATGATAGTGACAATGAGAAGGTGACCGCCATAGCTATTGATCTCTCATCTTCGCCGCCACCACCGCCATCATCCTCTACACACCTATGCCTTATGGCCAAGAGTGAACGCAAGGTAACTAATAATGATGATAGTAGTGATGATGATAGCGATAGCGATGATGATGATGATTCACCTTCGTATGATGATCTTGTTAAAATACTAAGACAATACACTAAGATCATTAGAAAAAGTAGAGCTAAAAATGAAAAACTAGATGCTAAGAATGATTCACTTTTAGCAAAATGTGATATAATAGAAAATGCTAATGTTGAGCTTAGAGAAGCAAATGATGCTTTGTCATCCAAACTCAAAGAACTCAAATCCTCTAAGAAAGAGCTTAAAGATAAACATGATAAACTTGAGAGGGTGCACAATGAGCTCATCACTAGCTATAAGCTAAAAGATGAATATACAACTCTTAAGATCAATCATGATACTCTTGTTATTGCTCAAGAATTTTTACCAAATGAGCCACATGATGCTACTAACCATGTTGTTAAG